AATGATACGATGACGAGGATGAAGATGATGTATGTTGCAGATGATTTGAGCAAATACCGGCCACTATACAGAGCTATATTGGCAGCAAATTGGGAAGAAGCTCTAATGTTCTTCAACCAACACCCCTCAGCAATTCAATCTCCACTTAATAGCTACTTAGACACTGCATTGCATGTTGGTGCTAGAGTAGGTAATGCCTCCTTTATGGAAAAGCTTGTAGCATTAATATTGTTGGACCATGAACTTGGCCCCAGAGACGTCATTGGGCAGACCCCACTTCACATCGCTGCCGTGCATGGAAACATTGAGGTGGCTGATATCCTTGTTCGCAGGAATTCTAATCTCCTCTATCTTCACAACCACGGAGGTTTTTTCCCCATCCATTATGCGGCTATGAATTATCGCAAAAGCAAGGACGCCATTGTGTATTTCCTTGGTGTGACTAGGGATGATGAATATGGCCACCCTAATCCATATGCAGGCCCAACTGGTCTCTCTTTGCTTGTTGAATTAATGGGAAATAAATTCTATGGTACGTATATATAGTACTACAATACCCGCCTCGCCAACTATATCTTATCCATCTTAATTAGCCTCTAATTGAATTGAATTTTTATATATATATATATATAGATTTGGCTCTGCAGTTGGTTGTAAGGTATCCTGATTTGAGCCGTCATAAGAGGTTAAGAAACGATAATATATCAGCTTTGGATGCCATAATTTTTTGCGACTGTTCCATTACTAACAAACACAGTTTAAACTTTTGGCAAAGTTTCATATACCATTGTGAGTAACTTTCCATTTCTATGGTTTATCTCTATTTATATATATATATATATATATATATATATATATATATATATATATATATATATATACTCATTTCGATCTTTAATTTATTAGTAAAAATTATTATTGCATGTAGGTGTTTCTAAGGCCGAGTCAACATCTACACCAACTTTTCACCTCATCACCTCACTATTACAATGTATGTATGTATGGATGTGTGTGTATACATAACTACCTAACATGACCCCCTCAGATCATAATATATAATAATAAAAAATAATAGATTTTGTTAGTTTATTATTGTTTTAATTCGATATATCAGGGCTGGTAGGGAAGAGCATAGTAAACAAAATGGTGTTGCACCACCAAGAAGTGAAGCTTCTTAAATGCTTGTGCGATCAACTCAAAACCCTAAATGATACACAAGTGATCTCACTCACAGAACAAGCACTCTTTGATGCAACGAGTTTAGACATTTGGCAAGTCATCCTAAATATTGCGGAAGCATACCCTATGTCGGTTTATTTCAAGAACTCCAAGGTGCAGAATATACTTCACATTGCAGTAGAGAACCGTAGCGAAAATGTTTTTAACCTTGTTTGTGGAACCAATGTGCTTCGGAATATATTATTGATTTCTTCGGACATAAATGGTAATAGTGTTTTGCATTTGGCTGGGAAATTGGCACCTCCGCACAAACTAAATCTTGTTTCTGGTGCAGCTCTTCAAATGCAACTAGAGTTGCAATGGTTTAAGGTATGGTATGTCACAATCTCTTATATGTTTTCCCCACCACTTCATTTCTATTTTTATTTTTATTTTTGTGATGACCATGAAACTCACAACCACGTACTACACAAAGGTGCGTACACCGGGTAAACCCCATGCCAGTCTTATCACCATAATGTAACGAGGTAAGCCAACCTAGGCATGCAGTTCCATTGAGAGTTAAACTTGTGATCTTTTGGTTATCAAGTCAACAGTTTGCAGACCAATTCGGTTGGGTCGGTTGGGGTTGTTTGACCAACATACTTCAATTTTTATTTTTTTTTTGAAACTAACACACACACATATATATGATTCATTTCATCTGATCTGCAGGAAGTGAAAAAAATCACACCATCAAATTACTTGTTATATCAGAATAAAGATGACAAAACTGCGAGTATGGTCTTTACGGAGGAGCATAAGGAGTTAAAAGAGGCAGGGGAGAAATGGATGAAAGACACAGCAACTTCATGCACAATTGCAGCAGCCCTCATTGTTACTGTTGTCTTTGCAGCAGCCATTACAGTTCCTGGTGGCAACAGTGGTGAAAATGGCCTCCCAATCTTCTCCAACCACAATGCTTTCACAGTATTTTCCATTTCAAATGCTGCATCTCTCTTCACATCCGCCACTTCCTTGCTCGTCTTCTTGTCCATCCTAACTTCGCGCTATGCAGAACAAGACTTCCTATTTGCTCTTCCCAACAGATTAATCATAGGCCTCTTCGCCTTGTTTTTGTCCATAATATTTATGATGATTGCCTTCTCCGCCACAGTGTATCTGGTATTTGGGCATAACAGAAGAGGAGTTGTTATTATAGTGGCTGGATTTGCATGTTTGCCGGTCACTTCATTTGTGCTTCTTCAATTCCCACTGCTTGTAGCTTTGGTGTCATCTACGTATGGACGGGGGATTTTTTATCAGCGTGGCTTTCCCCAACTGCCATTTTGACTTGTGGGCCACTCATAATTGGTTGATAAGAGCTTAGGCAAACTCCATCTACACTTTGTAATGCTTCATTTCATTCTATAATATTCCATTTGTTGTTTTAAAAACAATGAGTACTACGTGTTGTTGTTGGGACAGATATTCATCAATAGTTAATTTTCATGGAGTTACTAACAAATTATTCTATGGACCGATGGTCCACACAGTTACTATGTGGACTACAGTCCAAAACATCGTCATGAATATTATAAGTAAAAATAATGTACATTATGTGTTAAAATAATGTACATTATGTATTAGCATCATGTACATTACGTGTTAGAATAATGAAACATCTGGAGTAATATAATGTACATTATACTTTAGAATCATGTATATTATGAATTATAAAAATGTATGTTGCAATTGAGCGCGCAAAAAAATAAAATTAAGCAAAACGATAATATTTTTAAATCGTGTTGTGTGGACCGTAACTATTAGGAGTTACATTGATCACACCTAACCCATAAATAATTTTATCATTTGAACTAAGCTGAACAATGGTCATAACCCCACAAAGAAAGCTCGAAGCCCACAAAGGAGAGCCTCTATGCTATATATAAGATTTATGATGTTAAAGCGACCAATTAAAGCTTTGAATATGTCAACATGGCCTTTTTTTTTTTTTGTTTTTTTGTTTTCACAAGTATCAAATAGACCCATCTACTACTTCGAAGTGCTCAATTCTCACCACGAACTAAATTAAGTGTCAAATAAACCTATCTACCAGCTAAATTTGTTCGATTGACATTTTTTACAGGTTAGTAGTAGGTTGCCTATCTAATTATTAAAAATAAATAAATAAATATAATAAAAAATTAAAAAAAAAAAATCAGCCACCGGTTGTCCTCGCCGGACAGCCGGTGGCTGATATTCTTTCTTTTATTTTTATTTTTTTATTTTTTTTTCTATTTATTTATTTATTTTTAATAATTAAATAGGCAACATGTAAAAAATGCCAATTGAACAAATTTAGATGGTAGATGGGCCTATTTGACACTTAATTTAGTTCGTGGTGGAAATTGAGCACTTCGCGGTAGTAGATGGGTCTATTTGACACTTGTGCCTTTTTTTTTTTTTTTTGCCCCGTTCTTATAAATAAATGAGGCCCTACCGAGAGTATAAGCGCAATCTTTAAAACCAAACTATAAAATATATGATTTTTATTTCAAATAAGTATGAACGGTGTAACACTAGTTGAATGCAAAAATTACAGTTGATACTGTAAAATATATGATTTTTATTTCAAATAAGTATAAATGGTGTAAATATTAAGCGCTCTAAAAATTGACGCCCTGAATTGGCTCCCATCTTGCATGCCCCAAAATCGATGGAATATGATACTAAGTGTAACAAATAAGCCACTTGTTAGCTTGTCCTATGACCATGAAGTGCATGCATATATGCTGCAATCCTAGCTACTAATATATACGGAGTAACATTGTATTCTACTAATAATGTAGCAATTAGAACATTAAGGGTGCGTTTGGAAACCCAAAAAATAACTTATGAAAAATATTTTTCGGGTTTTCAGTGTTTGGCAAGAGGAGGAAAAATGAGGTCAATGAAAATGATGCCGTCAAAGGAAAATATGTATGTTTGGAGGAAAATGACTTCTTTTTTTTTTTTTTGGAAAGTCATTTTCCAATACACTAATGGCATAGTGTGATAGATACCCCAAACATAGTCGCTTGGACGGGAAGGGCGGGCAAGGCGGCCGGATCAAGGCGTGGCCCGATACTTAGCAGGTGAGGGATCTCCAGGGCCCCTCCCAGCCATCGTATAAGGCGTCCTACGACGGCAGTTGTTCATCATTTAGCAACCAATCTCAACAGCCGGTGCGTCCCCGGGCGGGCTCCCGGATGAGACTCGGTTGGGCGACCAGCCTCAGTGGTCGGTGTGTCTCCGACTGGATACTCTGCGGGATTCCGATGGACGACCAGGCTACGTGAAAAGCCTCAAAATATGCTAGTTTTTAGGAGCCTTTGATAGGAATTTTGTGCTCATATTAGTTGAAAAGTCTTTGTTTTTATAATGAAATATCCCAAAAGCACAGTTCAGTACATGTATATCTTTCTAATTATATCTTACGCGTTTTTAGGTATTCATGGAGGAAAAAGTGGTAAAGAGTGGTGATAAGAACATAGCCGAAAAAAGAGTCCGAACAAGGGCCGAACACACCGTGACTAAGCACGAGAGGAGGAAATGAGAATTATTTCCCATTCACGCCCCCTCACGGCGTGAGGGCATTGTAAATCAGATTTTAAGTGGCCGGACAAGAGCTCAGGCGGAAGGGAGTTATTCCCTATTCACGCCGGCGTCACGGCGTGATGCCGTGCGTGAATAGGGTGCCGAACCAGCTTAAAATATTTAAGGCATAATTTCTGATTTTTGAAGGGAGGACTTGGAGAAGTTACACAATTTCTGATGTACTTATGGGTTTTTTCTAACAGCTAGGTACACTGTGAGGTCCTTTGGTATCAGGCGTAATGAGAAAATTGCGTGCTATGTCACTGTCAGGGGTGATAAGGCAATGCAACTCCTTGAGAGTGGATTGAAGGTGAAGGAATATGAGCTGCTAAGAAGGAATTTCAGTGATACTGGGTGCTTTGGTTTTGGTATTCAGGAGCACGCACATTGATACGTGGCAAAGATTCCCTATTATAACAACCGAAGCAATTGCAATTTCCCTCCAAAATTCTGTTGAAAAGCTTTAAACAGAACACAAGAAACTCCCAAGATACCCATTTCTGATTTCTCCATCATCGCTGAAGAATTCTGCAACCTGCAAATCGTTGAAGAAGATCAAACGCGATGAGTTCTAGTTCGCGGGCAACCACGAGCCAATCACGCACGGTGGACGATAGGTTCGTCAGTCACAACCTCGACAGCCCGACGCCCTCCGTCGAATGGCTCCCCGGCGGGGAGGAGCCGGAGGGGAAGCCTTATACTGTCCAGAAACTGATCGTCGGAACTTGCACGCCGGAGAATGAACAAAGCAGCCTTATGCTCGTTCAGGTTAAGCTGAATCGCGAAGATTGGGATGGTAAAGAATCCAGTTCCTCTATTGAGATCGGGAAGGTACATAGTGAATATAATTCTTCTGTGATTTTTATTGCAATTCCTTTTGTTTTGCTTTGACCTAATTATGTTAATTGTATTAAGAAAACTGCAAAATATGTTGAGACTTCTTACAATCTCATTTTCCCCTTTCCTTCAATTCTAACTGTAGTTCTGTTTTGAAACTTCATTTTCCTATAGTATCTTTTCTTGCCTATTTTACAAATTTATAGCTATTTGAGGTAATTCCCCTAAATATTTCTGTTGCAGACAAGAAGAGTGCAGAAAATAAATCATGATGGGGTAGTTAACCGGGCTCGTTACATGCCACAAAACCCGAGTATTATTGCTACCAAGACAGGCAGGGCTGAGCTTTTCATTTTTGATTGTACCAAACATCCGTCAAACCCTCCCGAGGAGGGTGTTTGCAGCCCTGATTTGAGGTTAACTGGTCACAAAGACAAAGGGCTTGGCTTGTCCTGGAGTCCATTTAAGAAGGGTCATTTGTTAAGTGGCTCAGAGGATGGTCAAGTTTGCTTTTGGGACGTTAATGCCACTCCACATGATAATACACTTGAGGCTATGCGTATATTTGATGTATGTATCAGAATTAACTATATAAGAACTACTATATATGCAGCATGTGTTTTATGAAGTTACTTTTACTTGCATAATCATTATGTATTTCACAATTTTGTGTGAGATTTTCCATTAAATAGCTCTTTTGGTGATGTTCTAACAGAAACAGCATGGATGTGTTGAGGATGTAGCTTGGCATATGAAGGATGAGAACTTATTTGGTTCAGTTGGAGAAGATAAACATCTACATATATGGGATACACGCATTCCAGCAATCAAGCTTAATCAATCTGTACTTTGTCATGATGCTAAGGTGAGTATTTGAGTACAGAAATGGAGTCATACATATCTGTAGAGGATGGTATCTTTCATTCAGATCTTTACAAGCGTACTTTCCTAACATTTCTTTGTTATTAATACAGGTTAACTCCCTGGCATTTAATCCTATTTGTGGATGGGTTGTAGCAACTGGATCTTCTGATAAGAAAGTCAAAATGTTTGATCTGCGCAAGATTTCGCCTTTCCTCCATATCTTGGAATGTCCATTGCAGTAAGAGGCTATTCTACTTCCCATTTTCTTCTTGAGGAAACTTTGCTTTCTTTATCAATCGTTAGGGCATAATTGTTCTCTCTCTCTCTCTCACTATCTCTCTGTGAATGAAATGAAAACAAGTATTAAAGGCTTTTCTGAACATTTTGTGACAGGGAGGAGGTTGACCATGTTAGGTGGAATCACAAGCATGAGAAGTTTTTAGCTTCAAGTTCTGGCAGGAAGATTCTTGTTTGGGATATTAGCAGGTATTTCTTCACTACTGTTACATGGTGCATAGCTATATCTGTGAAGAATTCAAGAAATGAATGCATTGTTATATGAGTTTTTTTACTTTTCTTGCTATCCATCCCAGGATTGGGCGCGCACAAACCAGTGAGGAGGCTAAAGGAGGACCCCCGGAGTTTGCCTTTCTTCACTCTGCCCACACGGATAGCATTACAGACTTCTCATGGAGCCCAACCTACGGCTTGGCGATCGCTAGTGCAGCCAAGGACAACAGTCTACAGTTATGGCGGATGCGAGAAGTCATGTAATTTGTGAAGAAGAGGAAGATGATGATGAGAATTGAAGGCCCCATAGCTTCTTTTTCCAACTTTGGTATTGTTAATTCTGAGCTGTGGTTTATCTTTTCTTTCCAAACTATTGTTACTATGGATTTACCAGACTTCTTTTAGCCTCTATTGGGCTGAGCTGAGACTCCTTCTATATGCATATTCTGTTACCAACTATTTTCATTCTTTGCTCAAATGCATGTGCATATAAATAGGTTGTACTGTGTTATTCGACCTTGTATTCATGTTCAATCAACTATTTCTTATGATGGTTGTTGTGTTTGTAAGCCTTGAGTGCCTCTAATATTAGATCAGATGACCTAGAAAGAAAAATAATGAGATTTAAGACATTTATAGCTTACGAAAAGTTCATATATATTTAGTTGTCCTCAGGCTTGCATAGTGATTGATCACTTGACCTCAAGTCACAGCTGAAGGTGGCAGAGTGGAGATTCAAACCCCACCTCAAACATCATTAGAGTTGGACTCTCCAAGTAAGCGTTGAGCTCCACATGTTGGAGTAGGGTGTAGGACTAATCTATCTATCTATCAGGGGTGGTAGAGAAGAGCATAGTAAACAAAATGGTGCTACACCACCAAGCTATGAAGCTTCTTAAATGCTTGTGCGATCAACTCAAAACCCTAAATGATACACAAGTGACCTCACTCACAGATAATGCACTCCTTGAAGCAACGAGTTTAGACATTTGGCAAGTCATCTTAAATATTGCGGAAGCATATCCTTTGACGGTTTATTTCGAAACCTCCATGCCGCAGAATATACTTCACGTTGCAGTAATGAACTGTAGCGAATAATACCAATAAGATTAAATAAAAGCAATAATTTAAACATAAAAATCAGATTACCAATAAGATTAAATAATACTTGTTTTTATTTAGGGAATATAGTTTTTAATTAAATATGTAATCAAATTTTATAGTTGTGTTTTAAAAGGTTATCAACTAAACACTAACTATGATTTTGATTCTCATTCTTGGTCTGTAAAGCTATGAACCAAACACACCCTAAGTTTATCATTATCATTCACTCGTAATCTCGTATGAATGGCCCTTTGGCTTTGCCAAGATCAACTAATGCACCAAATCACTTACCAAATAAACATATTAATGTGGATAAAATGTTATGTAAATATTACGCTTTATAGTGCAAAATGTAACACGAAAGAAATGTGCAAAATATGTTATACAATTATTTAGGAAATCTAATTTTACCATACAATTAATCACCGCCATTCAAAGCACAAAATATGACACTTTTGAGTTTTAAATAATTAGATGGCAAACTAGGGTGGACGTCTTGACACTGATATCTGAACAAAATTTAATTCGAATATGCTCAATTCGGGTGAATTTATTTCTTATTAGTTTGGATACAACAAGGATTTTATTTTATTTTATAAATTTTGAGTTTTAAAATAATTTTATCATTGATCTATTTATAGTACGTGTTTTTGTATACTATCAAACTAAAAATAAAATAAAATACTAATAATTAACTAAGATATTTTTAAAATTAATATAATTCTAATTATGAAATACATTTAATAGTCAATATAATTTATATTTTATATTTTATATTTTATATTTATAATAATTGATAATTGATAAGGCTATAGCTGGGGCAACCCACTTGTCCTATGGAGCTCACTAGTGTATTTTCCAACCTCACGAGTGAACTTCCCGACCTCAGTAGTACATTCCCCGACCTCGTAAGTGCACTTCCCATCTCCCGTCTTGTGAGTGTACTCCTCGTTCTCCCGAGCAAATTTCCCGACCTTGGGAGTGCATGCCTACTTCCCGATCTCATTGTTAGTATGTAGATCTCTCGGTCTATTTGTTAGTAAACCTCCCGATTTCATTAGTAGTAGGCCTCCCCGGTCTCATTATCAAATAAACTTACCGATCTCATTGTATATTTGTATATAGTCTCTTCCGACCAAGGGCCGCCGATCGAGATATGATAATCAAAACAAAGCCAACCAAATCCGAGCACAATCGGTAAGTTTGTGCGCTTTTTGGTGCCATTGTATATCCGAGTGCACATTTTTGTGCCTTCAAGTTAGTGTATTTTTTTTAAAGAGCAGTAGATATGGACGAAATTAATGGTTGAGATTTTTGCGCATTTTTCACCTTGGGACTGCTTCGCACCTGATCCTGGACATATATATATATATATATATATATATATACATATGTATATATATATATATGTATATATATATATATATATATATATATATATATATATATATATATATATATATATATATATATATATATATATATATATATATATATATAGATTTAGGTTCTGGTGCGGTTAGGGTGCCCAAGTGCGGTTGTGCGGTTTAATTTGGACCATTCATCTCGCTTAAATCAACGTCCAGAATTGTCAAAATTAAAAAAAAAAAATACGGTGGCAATTTTGTAATTTTTGCATGTAGGTCAAAATTAAGGTGAGCGGATCTGTGATTAATGTGCGTGGGGTTTGTGCTTAATGTGCGTGAGGTTGTGCTTAATGTGTGTGGGGGTTGTACTTAATGTGCGTGAGGTTGTGCTTAATGTCAATAGTTGTTGAAACTTAAAATCTGTGAGTTAATATATTAAAGTGCGTGGGGTTTGTGCTTAATGTGCGTGAGGTTGTGCTTAATGTGTGTGGGGGTTGTACTTAATGTGCGTGAGGTTGTGCTTAATGTCAATAGTTGTTGAAACTTAAAATCTGTGAGTTAATATATTAAAGTGCGTGGGGTTTGTGCTTAATGTGCGTGAGGTTGTGCTTAATGTGTGTGGGGTTTGTACTTAATGTGCGTGAGGTTGTGCTTAATGTCAATAGTTGTTGAAACTTAAAATCTGTGAGTTAATATATTAAAGTGCGTGGAGTTTGTGCTTAATGTGCGTGAGGTTGTGCTTAATGTGTGTGGGGTTTGTACTTAATGTGCGTGAGGTTGTGCTTAATGTCAATAGTTGTTGAAACTTAAAATCTGTGAGTTAATATTTAAAGTGCGTGGGGTTTGTGCTTAATGTGCGTGAAGGCTGTGCTTAATGTGTGTGGGGTTTGTACTTAATGTGCGTGAGGTTGTGCAGACGCTATCATTTGTGTAGACGCTGTGTGTAGACGCTATCATTTGTGTAGACGCTGTGTGTAGACGCTATCATTTGTGTAGACACTGTGTAGGCACTATCTTCTTCCCGACGTTTTTTTTTTTTTTTTTTTTTTTTAAATTTTTATTGATTTGAGTCGTTGATCTAAATTTGATCAACAGCTCAGATCTAACCGCACAACCGCACGGGAAGCTATACCCGCACCTGAACCCTTCCCTATATATATATATATATATATATATATATATATATATATATATATATATATATATATATATATATATATATATATATATATATATATATATATATATATATATATATATATATATATATATATATATATATATAAGGCTTAGCCCGTGGGCTAAGCCCGTTAGGCCCGCTCTTTCATGGGCCATCTTTTTTTGTAACCCAAACCCATCCCGCGGCGGGGCAGGTGAGGACCAGCCCGCGGACTTCGACCGGCCGCCTAGGCGGTCTAGGTTGCGCCTAGACCGCCTAGCCGGCCGAAACGTCTCATGTCGTTTTTTTTTATTGTAATTTTTATTTTTATTTTTAGGTGTTATTTGTCAAAACGACGTCGTTTTGGCGAATAACCCCTAAAAAAAAATAAAATCGCAAATTCAGTTCAGCCACGCCCTTCTGTTTAATTACACTTTTTTAAAAAAAAAGAAAAATTGAACTGCCTAATTGCACTTTTGAGTAAAGTTTAAAGGTCTATTTTACCCTTTTTCCTATATATATACTAGTCATTTTTTATGCGCGATGCGCAAAAACATATGTTCAATATTTATATTTTTAAAAATAACTAACAAATTTTTATTAATTAAAATCTATTTGAAATCAAAATTATTTATTATATTAATCCAATATATAATGTCTACAAATATTATTATCATTAAAGAATATAAGAAAGTATATGGTGGATGCATGTGCATGGTAACAATATTGAAAAAAATAACGGAAGTTATAACGGTAGTGTATTTTCGTCCAAAAAATTATATAATACAACTCTAAAAATACAATATACAAAGTAATTAGCATTAAAAACATGGGCATAAATTAGAGATATAACTTTGATTGAGACTTATTATGTTTTTAGATTCATGATGAGTAACAAGTCAAATTTAATTATTTCATTTTTTTTTTTGTTGGAGAAGGGTAAAAAAACTCGATCTTAAATTTTATACGAAAGTGCAATTAAAATCATTAACTTTTGAAATGTGTAATTAAACACTTCAACTTATTAAAATTTTTAAATAAGTCTAATTTACCGATAACTAATAAATTATCAATAAGCACACCGTCATTGACTGTCATCGACTATCGTTGACCGCCGCCATTCACAAAAAATCGATGCCCAATCATAATTGGTTGATCAGCGTGGCATTCTCAGCTCCCATTTTCACTTGCCTGCCTGCCACTCATAATTGGTTGATAATTAATAGGCAAACTCTAGACTTTATTGTAATATAATGCTTCATTTCCAACCATACATACATAGGGAAGGCATTAGGTGCGGGAATAGCTTCCTGTGCGGTTGTGCAGTTAGACGCACATTAAGCATTAAACTGACACATTTTAAGTACACAATACACGCACATTAAGCACACAAACAAAACATCTTAAGAACACAAATCACGCATCTTAAGAACACCAACCACGCACCTTAAGCACATAACAAAGCACCTTAAGAACACAAATCACGCACCTAAGGTTTTAAAAATGGTTCACTTTAAGTTTTACATAACTGACACACCTTAAGCATACAAATCACGCACCTTAAGATGAAAACAACGCACATTAAGAAAGAAATTCACGCACATAAGTTTCAGCAACTACTCATATTAAGCATAAACCCACGCACCTTAAGCACAAAACTCAGGCACCTTAAGCACAAAACCCACGCAACTTAAGCACAAAACCCACGCACCTTAAGTTTTAACAACTACTACCATTAAGTACACAACACACGCACCTTAAGCACAAATTTCACGCACCTTAAGCACAAA